ACGGTCCTGGCTAACACGGTGAATGAAGCCCCATCTCTACTAAAAATACAAAAAATTAGCTGGGTGTGGTAGCGAGTGCCTGTAGTCCCAGCTACTTAGGAGGCTGAGGCAGGAGAATGGCGTGAACACGGGAGGCAGAGCTTGCAGTGAGCCGAGATGGCGCCCCTGCACTCCAGCCTGGGTGACAGCAAGACTCCCTCTTAAAAAAAAAACAAAAAAATCTACCCTTTATTAAAATGTTTAATAGCCTTATACATTTCATTATTTTGATTTATCTGAATCAAGGTGAAAATTAAGTCTACATATTGAATTTGGCTTTTTTTTTTTTTCTTGAGACAGAGGCTTGATCTCGGCTCACTGCAACCTCTGCCTTCCAAGTTCAAGCGATTCTCCTGCCTCAGCCTCCTGAGTAGCTGGGATTACAGGCGCGCACCACCACACCCAGCTAATTTTTATATTTTTAGTGGAGACAGGGTTTCACCAGGTCAGGCTGGTATCGAACTGCTGACCTTGTGATCCATCCACCTTGTCCTCCCAAAGTGTTGGGATTAGAGGGGTCAGCCACCATACCTGGCCTTTTTCTTTTTTTCTTGAGATGGAGTCTTCTCTGTTGCCCAGGTTGGAGTGCAGTGGTGCAATCTCGGCTCACTGTAACCTCCCTCCTGGATTCAAGTGATTGTCCTGCCTCAGCCTCCCGAGTAGCCGGGACTACAGGTGCCTGCCACCACAGCTAGCTAATTTTTGTATTTTTAGTTGATACGGGGTTTCACCATGTTGGCCATGCTGGTCGCGAACTCCTGAGCTCAGGCAATCTGCCTGCCTCAGCCTCCCAAAGTACTAGGGTTACAGGTGTGAGCCACCTTGCTTGGCCTTAATATTTACTGTTCATCTTAATTTCCCCCTCCCTTTTATCTTACAGTATATTCATGAAAGAAACTAGCCTTTGAAATTGTCGCACAGTCTAATTTTTGCTGATTGCTCGCTGTGGTGTAGTTTAACATATTCTTTTTCCCCATGTATCTACAGTTGATTGGTAATTGAATATACAGATTGATTCCAGATTTTTGTTTTGTTTTGTTTTGGCAAGATTACTTCATAGTTGGCCTTTCTTTGATCACAATGCCCAAATGTCTGAATCCACTGATTCTTTATGGGTTGCAGAATAGTATTCTAATGTTATTATTACTTAATAATTACTTGGAATATAATGAAAAACTTTCCCTCGTGTTTTTTTTTTTGTTTTTTTTTTTAAAAGAGACAGGATCTCAATTTATCACCCAGGCTGGATTGCAGTGATGAGAACACGGACGGCTCACTGTAGCCTCAACCTTCTGGGCTCAAGCAGTCCTCCCACCTCAGCCCTCCATGTAGCTGGGGGCTACAGGCATGTGCCACCATGCTTGGCTAATTTTTGTATTTTTTGTAGAGATGGGGTTTTACCACGTTGCCCAGGCTGGTCTCGAACTCCTGAGCTTAGGCGATCCACACACCTCAGCCTCCCAAAGTACCGGGATTACAGGCGTGAGCCACTGTTCCTGGCCCTAACTTTCCCTATTTAACTCTTTAGAGTCATAATGGTATAGATTGTATAGAAGAGGCAGGGTTAACGGCTTTTTTTTTTTCTTTTTTTCTTTGCTTAACCAGTTTTCACAAAAATGAGTTAGTTCATCAGCTTCCCTCAGTGAAGTCCAATTAAGGTTTTCTTGTTTACAAGAGTCATTGTGAACTTACAGATTTAAACATATTTAATGAGATTCAGCTGATTGCAGTCATCTTTACTGATGTACAAATGTCCCATCATTGGCGATTAGGAGCCTCTTTAAATTGACCCCTAAGTCCTTTTGACATGACTCTAATAGTCTTTCTTAATTTCTGACTTAACAGAATGTTTCAGTCCCATCTTGGACATTTCTTGTTCTAATGTAGAAACCTTCAGTTCTGGAGCCTGGTTGCTTTTATTGGGGCTTGGTATTTCAGTGCCTTACTTCAGTGGGCAGAACTAGAAATTGTTTTTAAAGATAAAATACATCATTTTGGTGCTTATAGTTCAGATTCAGAATTATAAGGCTACTACCTAGGTTTTTTTTATCTATAGCCCCTTACTTCCATGTAGAGTCAGTAGAGTCTGTTTTATTTTATTTTGATTTATTGTTTTATTTTGAGAGAGGGTCTTGCTGTGTTTCCCAGGCTGGAGTGCAGTGGCACAATCTTGCCTCACTGCAACCTCTACCTCCTGGGCTGAAGCAATCCTTCTACCTCTCAGCTTCCCAAGTAGCTGGGACTACAGGTGCACACCACCACATCTGGCTAGTTTTTATATTTTTTCATAGAAATGAGGTTTTGCCATGTTGCCTAGGCTGGTCTCAAATTCCTGGGTTCCAGTGTTCCTCCTGCCTTGGCCTCCCAAGGTTACACCCATGAGCCACCATGCCCGGGCCATTTTACTTTTTCTTACAGGGTCTTGCTTTGTCTCCCAGGCCCAAGTACAATGTTGCGATCATAGTTCACTGCTGCCTTGCCCTGTTGGGCTCGAGCTGGGACCCAGGCTCGAGTGGTTGCACTCAGCTTTTTTTTTTTTTTTTTTTAAGTTTTTGTATTGACGTGGTCTCCCTGTGTTGCCCAGGCTGGTCTTGAACTCCTGGGTTCAAGCAGTCCTCCTACCTTGGCTTCCCAATGTGCTGAGATTATAGACATGAGTGACCACACCCAGCCAAGTTTATTACAAATTGTAGAGAAGAGAATAAAATTAGAGAAGTGACATCAGAGGGAGCAAATGGCAGAGCAAACCCAGAAAAGTGGAACATGCCAAAGTATGGCAATAATTGTTCCCAGGAGAACAGTTATTTAAAAAAAAAAAAAAAAAAAAGAAGGAAGGCCAGGCGTGGTGGCTCACGCCTGTAATCCCAGAACTTTGGTAGGCCGAGGTGGGAGAATTGCTTGAGCCCAAGAGTTGAAGACTAGCCTGGGCAACATAGCAAGACCTCATCTCCACTAAAAATCAAAAAAATTAGTCAAGTGTGATTGCGCACACCTGTGATCCCAGCTACTAGGGAGGCTGAGGTGGGAGGATTCCTTGAATCCTTCTTTGCTGAGAAGGGCCGTTTTCTGCTCATCCTGGATCTTGGGGGCTTCAGATATGTCTAAGAGCAGAAAAGCTTTTCCCATTGCCACTGGGTCACAAAATAGCTGAAAAGTATACAAAAAATAGAGTCAGAACTGCCTTGAAGAGATGGAAGTGCACTACTCTAGTTAGAGAGCCAGCTTTGTTCTGGCAAGAGCACAGAACACAGAAGAGGAGTGTATTGGGCAGAATGTTCTTTTTTCTGCTTCCAGTAAGTGTCATAACACTGTGCTTGCTTGGAGAATCCCGAAACCCTGCAGGAAAATACTGTTGCCTGCTGCTATTTCATTATGCACTCAGTGCACAAACATGTGCATACTGACTGACTTCAGCACATGAAAGGGGCCTTGGTGGTCATGTCAAATGTTATCTTTCTTTGGTGCAGACCTGGCTGACCAGGGCTCTTGTTCAGATTATTGACCTTTGTCCATGCCTAGCTCTGGGTTCACTTATGAACCAGGGTCTTACAGTAACACCAGCTCTGTGGGGGGATCTTGTAATAGTTCAAATACTGTCATATTGGCTAGGCGTGGTGGTTCACGCCTGTATTTCTAACTGTTCAGGAAACTGGCAGGAGGAGTCTTTGAGCCCAAGAGCTCAAGGCTGCAGTTAGCCATGATTGTGTCACTGTACTCTAGCTGGGGTGACAGAGCAAAACCTCATCTCTTTTTTTTTTTGGAGACAGGATCTCATTCTGTCACCCAGGCTTAAAGTACAGTAGTGGATCACGGCTAACTACAGCCTTGACCTCCCAGGCCCAAGGAATCCTCCCACCTCAGCCTCCCTAGTAGCTGGGATCACAGGTGTGTGCCATCACACTCGAATAATTTTTTTGATTTTTAGTGGAGATGGGGTCTCGTTATGTTGCCCAGGCTGGTCTTCAACTCTTGGGCTCAAGCAGTTCTCCCACCTCAGCCTCCCAAAGTTCTGGGATTACAGGCATGAGCCACCATGCCTGGCCTTCCTTTTTTTAAAAGACTGTAGAAAAGACCCTGTATCTTAGCAAAAAATAATAATAATTTTTTAAAAAATCCCCCAAAGAGTATCAGTCTCCTGTTTATCTAGAGAATTAATGACAATAGCCTTGCTTTTTTTTTTTTTTTTTTTTTTTTTTTTTTATTGAGACGGGAGTCAGGCTCTGTCGCCCAGGCTGGAGTGCAGTGGTGTAATCTCAGCTCACTGCAAGCTCTGCTTCCAGGGTTCACACCATTCTCCTGTCTCAGCCTCCCGAGTAGCTGGGACTACAGGAGCCCGCCACCACACCCAGCTATTTTTTGTATTTTTAGTAGAGACAGGGTTTCACCGTGTTAGCCAGGATGGTCTTGATCTCCTGACCTCATGATCCACCCGCCTCGGCCTCCCAAAGTGCTGGGATTACAGGCGTGAGCCACCGCACCCGGCTGGCCTTGCTTTTTAGAGACGGTTGAAACGAGAGAATACTTGGTAAGGCAAACGGGCGTGCATGCCAATTCTTTGGGTCCTGGACCACCTTTGAAAATATGCAAAGCTCTGTACACTCTCAGAGAAGTATGCATATATGCAGAGTTTGGTTTATAGTTTTCTGTACTTCACTGTCTCTGAGGGCAGTCTTTTTGCCCTGTGTTAGCCTTGGATTAGAGGGTAACAACAATCATGTAAGGCTGTGTTTCTCAAGTGTGGTGTTAGAAATACTTATTATCAGGTTCCACCTCAGAAACAGGTTGGGACCCAGCTCTCTGTGTTTTAACAAGCTTTCCAGATGATTTTTGCCACACTTTAGGGAGAGTCCCCTGATGAAATTTGTACTCCTGTGTGGTCCTTATGCTTCACACCTCCCATATTGTGCCTTTGAGAGATCACCTGCCATCCTCTTGTTGTAACAGTACTCTATTCCTCCTAGGCTATGTCTTGCCCAGCCACGTGACTGAGGAGATGCTGTGGGAGTGCAAGCAGCTTGGGGCTCACTCCCCCTCCACCTTGCTGACCACCCTCATGTTCTTTAATACCAAGTAAGTGTTCTAGAGGCTCCACTGCTGGCATCTGTCCAGTGAAGAGTGTAGAAACTATCCAAGAGGCCTTCTGAATTCCTCTGACATATATTTGAGAAACTGGGGTACTGAAAGCCCTAACCCCACTTGGCTGCATTTTGTTTGGTAACCAGCGAGGCAAACACCCTTGCCAGACCCCTACCGTCCATCTTGATGTAGCTCCTGCACTGGATACTGGTTGAGTACAAGCCTGCCCAGATCTTGGGAATGTGGGTGGTGGCTTCTCTGAAGCACCAGTAGGCAGAGGATGAGTCATGGTATCCTCCCGGCACCCCTCCTTCTGCCTTGCATTTTACTTGTGATCCAGGTACTTCCTATTGAAGACAGTGGACCAGCACATGAAGCTGGCCTTCTCCAAGGTCTTGCGACAGACAAAGAAGAACCCCTCTAATCCCAAGGATAAAAGCACGAGTATCCGGTACTTGAAGGCCCTTGGAATACACCAGACTGGCCAGAAAGGTAGGGAAAGGAGGCAGGGATGGTAAAAACAGGTGCTACTTGTCCTGCCCTTGTGCCTGTGAGGCTGGTGATAAGTGTAAAGGTTGAGATTTGCTGGATAAAATTCTCCACTCCCTTCTCACCAGCCAAAAATTCTAAACTTTCCTCCTAGAAGCAGAGAAGCCCCAGAGAGAATAGCTGCCTCTTCCCTTAGTAGTCACTGCCCATGCCTCATACCTTCCCTCCCCAGACCCTGTATTTCCTAGTTGGGCTGGCTGAAAGCCTAAGGTTCCTGATTTGGGTCTGAGGTAAGGCAGTCTGATGCCAGGTCTGTGGTGGTGGGGATGTGTGTTTTATAGTTACAGATGACATGTATGCAGAACAGACGGAAAATCCAGAGAATCCATTGAGATGTCCCATCAAGCTCTATGATTTCTACCTCTTCAAATGGTGAGGAGGCTTTATTGTGACTGGCCGTCCATGTGTGTGCATGTGTGTTTATGCGTGTGCATGTTCACTTGTGTGATAGCTTATCACACGGGAGAGGCATTCTCTAGTCCCAAATCACATAAAAACACTTCCAGAAAGCTAAATGTAGAAGCACCCTTGTCCTGGCTTTTCAAATGTGTGTGATGTGCCTAGCACTGATAGAAAAAGGGGTACCAGGTCCCTACAGTCAACTTTCATGAAAAGGATATGAAGGTACAGAGAATCTACCTTCATCACATATTGAGCATGGCCCTGCTTCCTGACCTTGACCTTTTGTCACTGCCACCATTAATCTAGGTGAGACTTCTCTCAGCTTTTTCTCCTTTTTGCCCATTCAGTGGTTTCTCATTACATAATAATTCTTTTATGGCAGACAGCTCCTTTCATGCACTCCCCCTTGCTAACCTCGTATCTGTGGAGCTTAGTTCCCCAGCCACACTAGCTCCTCTCCACTCAAGGGCATCATATTATGCCTCTTCTCAACTTAAACACAGCTTATCAGGGAAGCATTTCCACATTCCCCACCTCTTCCTGTGGCTGTTTCCTAGGTAGCACTTATCACTGTTTGTTATTTTGTATTTGTGTAACTTTAATTGCTACCTGTGTCCCCTCCTATCTGTAAGCTCCATGAGGTAGGAAATACTGTTGCTGCCCATTTTTTTTTAATATCAGCACCTGGTGCTGACCTGGCACTAGTAACCCTTAAATAAATCTTAAATGGATAGATGAATAACTGTTAGAGGATACAGGATGCCAAGTACTTAATAGAGGTACAGCACGGTTAGGGGGAGGGGAGTGAACCCAAGTTAAGGGCCCCAGTGTAATGGCCATCATTAGTGGGTAGAAAACACAACATGAGGCTGGGCACAGTAGCTCACACCTGTAATCCCAGCACTTTGGGAGGCCAAGGTGGGTGGATCACCTGAGGTCAGGAGTTCAAGACTAGCCTGGCCAACATGGCGAAACCTCATCTCTACTAAAAATACAAAAATTAGCTGGGCTTGGTGGCACGTGCCTATAGTCCCAGCTACTCAGGAGGCTGAGGCAGGAGAATCACTTGAACCAAGGAGGCGGAGGTTGCAGTGAGCTGAGATCACCCCCACTGCACTCCAGCCTGGAGACAAGATGCCACCTCAAAAACAAAAAACAAAACACAACATGTGCAAAGACTTGGAGATAGACCCTTTGAGCAGTGAAGTTGGCTTCAAGTAAGATAAGGATGGACTCACATGAGTCCATGGGAGCCCTAGGCTGGTGCATTCAGTGATGGATCACAGGTGGTATGTGGGAAGGAGGGGCAGAGGGGAAGCAACCCAACATTTGGGGGATTTGCAGTAGTCCCAAAGGAGGACCAGGATGTAGTGTGTGGTGGCTGCATGGAATTCAGTAGCTGTGCCACAATACCTCGGGACCTTACTGTTTGCAGACAGCATCTGTCTGGGAGGTTCAAGGTGGGAGGGCTGAAGTTGTGTTGGTGGTACCCAACTTTTACTCACATATTCTTCAGCCCCCAGAGTGTGAAAGGCCGGAATGACACCTTTTACCTGACACCTGAGCCGGTGGTGGCCCCCAACAGCCCAATCTGGTACTCAGTCCAGCCTATCAGCAGAGAGCAGATGGGACAAATGCTGACCCGGATCCTGGTGATAAGAGAAATTCAGGAGGCCATCGCAGTGGCCAATGCAAGCACTATGCACTGAGATGCCTTGGCCATAGTGCAAGAGAAAGCAGCCAGGAAAAACCAGAGAGACTTTCACACTAAAGAAGAGGCCTCCATTTTTTCTTTTTTCTTTTTTTTATTGGTGTAGTTATGAAGCCTTTCAGGCTGCTTCTGTTTAAAATGTAAAAGAAAACTTTGCCCCCTTTGCATCTTCATAAACCTGCTGCGGCAGACTCCTCAGCCGATGGTGGCTCTGGGTTTCCTTGAGATCATATGTCCTAGAAAGTTGCTGACTGACTCTTTTTTTGTCTGGGGCCTGGGGAAAGGGCTTGGACTGTTAAATGTGGCCCCTTTCCATCTTCAAGAGAGATGGAATTAATGATGAATGGACCCTGCAAGGGAATCTCCCCAGCTGACTTCCACTGGGCTGACAGACTTTGCTGACCACAGGGGAACGATGTTCTTTTCTTTCTTCATGCTCAAACATAAACTTAGCATCTTAATGGAAGAAAAATGAGGGGAACTTCAATTATGATTTATTAAAGACAATTTCTATTACACCCTCCTTTATGACAAGTGACATTTTAGATGTTAAAGTAAAAACTTTACCATGCCTTTTTTTTTTTTTTTTTTTTTTTTTGTAGAAACTGGGTTTCACCATATTGCTTAGGCTGGTGTTGAGCCACCGTGCCCTGCCAGCACTTTATTTTTTTAAGTCTTTTTTTTTTTTTTTTTTTTTTTTTTTTTGGCCTAACATTGAGGCCTTAAAACCTGAGGCTCCTGTGCCTGATGGAATTCTTGTAACATACACTTGTGTATCATATAAAGATACCACTCTGTTTCTCTTAATGTATTCTTACTCTAGTTGTTTATTAAGAATGACAAGCACGTCTTTTCAACATGCTAGTGAACAACGCCTCTTTATTTTGGGGAGGAGCCCGGCGGGACAGTGGAAGTAAAGCCTTGCCTGTTAATTGAACTGGCCGGGGTCCTGCGGGGAGTGGGGTGGGACTTGAAATCAGCTCCTCAGTGACGAGGCCAGTGTGTGCTGTACGCATGCGCTGTTTCTTCAGCGGCAGCTCCGCCCCTGCCGCAGCGAAGCCGATCTGTTCCGGCCGCGCGTACTACGACCTGACGTCAGCAACGTGCGCGGCGCAGTGACGAAGTCGGCTGGTTTATATTGGCGCGGCCCAGACGGTAGAGGTCTCTGCGGCGCGGTCCTCGGAGACACGCGGCGGTGTCCTGTGTTGACCATGGCCGACTACCTGATTAGTGGGGGCACGTCCTACGTGCCAGACGACGGACTCACAGCACAGCAGCTCTTCAACTGCGGAGACGGCCTCACCTACAAGTGCGGGCCTATGGGGCTCACCTGGGCGAAGAGAGGGGTGGCATGCTGGGTGAAAAGGCCAGATGGGGGCTTCCGTGGAGCCTTCTTGGGCGTAGGCGCGGGGAACAGGTTCCGGGAATTGGCCACCCACCTCCGGGGCTCACTTTGAGACATCGGGAGCGGTGCTTGGGATACGGAGAAACATTTCAATAGTGCCTGGAATTTCAGGCTGGAGACTCCATGCTCCAGACACATGGAATTGTCAGGGTGCCAGGAGCACTGATGACAGCTCGGTGGCATAAAAGGTCCCCTGTCCCTACTTCCACCTTTTACTATGTCTGTGACACACAGGCTCTGTCAGTGCCATTCTCTGCTCACATGGGTTACGAGTTGATTGATATATGCGGGATGGAGTCTCATGCTACCCTATGCCTGAGAGCTTTACTCCCAATTCACTCCCTTCCCTCGCAGTGACTTTCTCATTCTCCCTGGGTACATCGACTTCACTGCAGACCAGGTGGTAAGTATGATCAGGAATTGGGTCCTGAACATCAAGGTGAGCTAAGGTGCTACTGTCACCTGGTCTCTGGGCTACCTCACCAGATTGGGCTTGGGTGTGGATTTTATGGGATGTTACTGGTTAGCATGCAGGTCATACAAAAGTGCCTTTTTGTGGGGGACTCAGTAACACCTTGAGGAGTAAGAGATGCTTTCCCACACTGGCTGACCTTTGTCTCCTCAGGACCTGACTTCTGCTCTGACCAAGAAAATCACTCTTAAGACCCCACTGGTTTCCTCTCCCATGGACACAGTCACAGAGGCTGGGATGGCCATAGCAATGGCGGTGAGCCCCATGGGGTGTGGGGGAAGGAGCAAGGATGCCATCGCCTTTCCCCAAAGGCATCCAGTCCTGCCTCTTGTCACTTAGTATTTCTCTTTTTATCCTGTAGCTTACAGGTGGTATTGGCTTCATCCACCACAACTGTACACCTGAATTCCAGGCCAATGAAGTTCGGAAAGTGAAGGTCAGAAGGGCAAAGATCATTAGCAAGCACTCCTGGGAATTGCACTGAGGTGGGGTGGGGTGGGAGTAGGGGTTTATTCTATTAATTTAGTATTCTTTCTTCCCACCATGGGGTTCAGTTACTGAGAAGACCCTGAGATTCTTTTTCTTAAAGCAGCAGCAATAGACCAGGTGTACAGTGTCTCCAGCCTACCCATGTCTCCTCTAAGATGTGTTGGTGTGATTTGGTCTTGTGGCACTGCCAAAGGGAGCGTTAAGCAGAGACCCCATGCTTCAGATCAAGAGCCTGATGAAAGTAGTTCAAAGATGCGATACCTTTCTCACCATCCCTTTCCAGAAATACGAACAGGGATTCATCACAGACCCTGTGGTCCTCAGTCCCAAGGATCGTGTGCGGGATGTTTTTGAGGCCAAGGCCCGGCATGGTTTCTGCGGTATCCCAATCACAGACACAGGCCGGATGGGGAGCCGCTTGGTGGGCATCATCTCCTCCAGGGATATTGATTTTCTCAAAGAGGAGGAACATGACTGTTTATTGGAAGAGGTGGGTGCCACTGTCAGAGTAGATCCAAGCTCTGGCAGCCCAGGTTGAAGACAAGAGGCTTCTGTTGTCTGTATGACATCTCTGATAGCCTCTCCCCTCTGGGAAAGAGAAGGGTCAGGCCAAGTTTCTGACTCCTTCATTGGGTTTCTGCATCCTTTCTCCACCAGAGGCTTTCAAACTGCCCAAATGCTTGCTAGTATTCATGTTTCATTTTTTTAAACCCCTAAGGTAGGGGCAGTGCTCAAGGTCCTCCCTCATTTTCTTGCCATTGTTCCTGGGTGGTCCTCCTTATTCCATAGTGTAAGAGGCTGCTCCCTGTGCCATGTTGCCCTTTCTACTCATCCCTCACTTAATACCATACTGCTTAGGAACTATTGGGATCCCTTGAGGAAGGGTGATTTGGATGTGAATGTATGAACGTGGTGGTCCATAGAACTTCACCTCTGAATTAGGCAGGGCATGTAGAGGTGACGCCATAGGCCAGGCGCAGTGGCTTACCCCTGTAATCTCAGCACTTTGGGAGGCCGAGGCAGGCGAATCACGAGGTTAGGAGTTCAAGACCAGCCTGGCCCACATGGTGAAACCCTGTCTCTACTAAAAATACAAAAAATTAGTTGGGTGTGGTGGCGCCTGCCTGTAATCCCAGCTACTTGGGAAGGAAAGAAAAAAAGAGTTGACTGACTATAGTCGATGACTGGCCCTTCGCATCTCACCTCCCACGTAGATAATGACAAAGAGGGAAGACTTGGTGGTAGCCCCTGCAGGCATCACACTGAAGGAGGCAAACGAAATTCTGCAGCGCAGCAAGAAGGGTAAGTCCTAGAGCTGGGAAAGGGCCTGGAACTAATGCTCAGGGTCCTGATCCATGTCCTGCCCTGACCACAGGAAAGTTGCCCATTGTAAATGAAGATGATGAGCTTGTGGCCATCATTGCCCGGACGGACCTGAAGAAGAACCGGGACTACCCACTAGCCTCCAAAGATGCCAAGAAACAGCTGCTGTGTGGGGCAGCCATTGGCACTCATGAAGATGACAAGTATAGGCTGGACTTGCTCGCCCAGGCTGGTGTGGATGTAGTGGTTTTGGTGAGCTGCTACACAGGTGGGTTGGGGCAATAGGGGCAGCTGCCACATCACAGTCTGAGACTTAGTTCCTGTCCCAGGACTCTTCCCAGGGAAATTCCATCTTCCAGATCAATATGATCAAGTACATCAAAGAGAAATACCCCAATCTCCAAGTCATTGGAGGCAATGGTAAGGCAAGATTGTGCCCTGAGGGATGTGTGATGGGAGTGGATAAGCTGGGCTCCCACCTTAACCTTCACCTGAGTGTTTTCCTTTCATTCACCTTAGTGGTCACTGCTGCCCAGGCCAAGAACCTCATTGATGCAGGTGTGGATGCCCTGCGGGTGGGCATGGGAAGTGGCTCCATCTGCATTACCCAGGAAGGTAAGAATATACTTTGATAGGGCCCACATACCTTGGAGCCAAGCACTCTTATGGGAACAGGAGTCCTCCAATAGGGGTAATCCTGGGGCCAAACTGACCTCTTGGATGGGTGACATGGCTGGAAGCAAGACAAGGTCTTGTCATCCTCCACCTGCCACTCCCTTGCCTAGCCTGGCCTTCTTGCTCCTGCTCTGCACCTTCTCTAAACTCTGGTCTGTTTGTTTTATTTAGTGGCTCCCAAGATCCCTCCAGACATAAAGTCCCACAGCCCCAAATGCCCTTCTACTGTCACAGGTTGCTATAGTAAGTCCAGCCCGGCCCACTGGCCCGGCCCAGCTGCCCACTGCCCGGCTGCTTGGTTGACGTAGCTGTAGCTCCCGGGGTTTGTGGTGCTGATGGGTGGGCAGGGCCAACTGATACACAGACCATGGTTTGTGGGGGGTGCTCAAGAACATAGCTCCCCTCTTCCTCCTGGGGTGCTGATAGGGCAGGACTTTCCTAGGCAGGCCCTTTCCTGCCCACATCTTCTGCAGTAGGCATGGCTCAGGGACCAACTCCTTTGTGTGGTCCTTGCTCTTCCACACAATTGCCTGCTGCACACCACAACCTGCTCTCCCATACAACCACTGCCCTTACCTTGCCTGAGCTGCCCACCATTCAGGAAGGGCTGGGCCTGACTTCAGTGCCTCTGGGGACTAACTGCACGGTCGGGGGCTTTCCCGGCTGCTAAGACTGCATGTGCCTGAGGCTGTCCTGGGCACTGCACACATGCACGCGCACATGTGGGGGTGAGTAGAGGGCAGCACAGCAGTTTGTACTATTTAAGGCACATGGGGTAGCAGCCATCCCAGACATGTCTCTTCCTTATCCAACCTGCAGTCCTGATGCAGATGTAGCCAAAAGCTCCTGGGTCTTAAATGTGGCCACAGGGTCCACTGCCTGTCCCCATTAACCCTATCCACCCATGTGTTCCTCCATCTCAACAGTGCTGGCCTGTGGGCGGCCCCAAGCAACAGCAGTGTACAAGGTGTCAGAGTATGCACGGCGCTTTGGTGTTCCAGTCATCGCTGATGGAGGAATCCAAAATGTGGGTCATATTGCGAAAGCTTTGGCCCTTGGGGCTTCCACAGGTGAGGCCCAGTACCCGTGAAGGCCAGTGGGACGTCTCCCCAGTGCTGCTTAGGCTTTAACCCAGCACTCCATCTGTCCACAGTCATGATGGGCTCTCTCCTGGCTGCCACCACTGAGGCCCCTGGTGAGTACTTCTTTTCCGATGGGATCCGACTAAAGAAATATCGCGGTATGGGTTCTCTTGATGCCATGGACAAGCACCTCAGCAGCCAGAACAGATATTTCAGGTGGGACAGGCAAGCCAGTTACCTCACCCTAATCCTACACTGACAATCTCATCTCTGCTGTGACCTTGCCCGTGTCTCTGCCTCTCCCTGCAGTGAAGCTGACAAAATCAAAGTGGCCCAGGGGGTGTCTGGTGCTGTGCAGGACAAAGGGTCCATCCACAAATTTGTCCCTTACCTGATTGCTGGCATCCAACACTCATGCCAGGACATTGGTGCCAAGAGCTTGACCCAAGTCCGGTGAGCTTGGGAAGCTGGGACATGGGTAGAGGGGCTGGTCCAGGGCCAGCTACCCACATTTGACCTCTGCCCCTCTTCAGAGCCATGATGTACTCTGGGGAGCTTAAGTTTGAGAAGAGAACGTCCTCAGCCCAGGTGGAAGGTGGTGTCCATAGCCTCCATTCGTAAGTCACCCTGTCCTTGGTGGAGCCTCTGCCATGCCTCATGCCTCCTTTCTCCTGCCCTCACCTCACAGGTGGTCTTTCTGCCTGCAGGTATGAGAAGCGGCTTTTCTGAACAGGGATCCAGCACACCTCCCTCGGTTTTTTCAATAAAAGTTTAGAAAGAAAAAAGTGATGCCTGATCTTTCACCAGACAGGTGGGGCTGTGTAGCTGCCACTACCACAGATGCACACAAACACAGCACCCTCATTTCCAGGGGAGCCTCAGGCCCTGAGATAAATGTGTTCCAGGTTCAAAAAGTTCTTCCTGAGGCTGCTCACAAAACAGCTCTGACCAGCTGTGGCTCCTGGGGTTTCAGTCTCACACTGAGCCTCTGACTCTGGCTCCCGAGGGGTCAAAGGGTCAAAGAACAATCCCTGGGACTGGCATACACAGGGCATCCTGCTAGCCCATAGCTTGGCCATATAGGACCAGATCAAGACATATAAATATTCCCTAACTTGAATCTCTCTCAGCCATGCACGTTGGCTCACACCTGTAATCCCAGCACTTTGGGAAGCTGAGGTGGGCGGATCACTTGAGGTCAGGAGTTTGAGACCATCCTGGCCAACATGGTGAAACCCCATCTCTACTAAAAATACAAAGATTAGCTGGGCGTGGTGATGCATACCTGTAGTCCCAGATACTCAGGAGGCTGAGGCAGGAGAATCACTGGAACCTGGGAGGGGGAGGTTGCAGTAAGCTGAGACTGCGTGACTGCACTCCACCCTGCGAAAGAGCAAGACTCCTTTTCAAAAAAAAAAGCTGGGTATGGTGGTAGGGGCCTGTAATCCCAGCTACTCAGGAGGCTGAGGCAGGAGAATCGCTTGAATCCTGGAGGTGGAGGTTGTAGTGGGCCAAGATCACGCCACTGCACTGCAGCCTGGGTGACAGAGCCAGACTCCATCTCAAAAAAATAAAGTCAGCTATTTTGTGAGAAAAGTCATTGAGGTCCTCTCAACTCTGCATGTGAGGAAGTAGCTCTAGAACAGGTAAACATACTACTACCTGGCTTCTGAAAAACTAAGGAATCCTAAGTAATCTAGATAAAAAAAGTGACTCCTTGGTTTCTTCACATTCCCCTCCAAGAGCCCAGTGAGCCATCAGCTCCTGGCCAGCAACACACCTGATACAAAATGGGAGAAGTGTATAAATTATTATGTTGATAAGCAAGGTAAGTGCCAAAGGGTAGATAAGAGTGAAACCATCGGGAAGCCTGGCAGAGTGCAGTCAGCAGGACAGTTCACGGTGGTTCATTGAGCAGCTTGGCCCAAAGGTTTGAGTGAAGTCCCTCCTGGTGGAGGGATGAGAGCAGCTCCAGTTACTCGGCCTTCATGACACAAGAAGTTGAAGGTGGCACAGGCATTGGGCTGCAAAGAAAAGGCCAGCATCAGCCTGTCTAGCATCAGGCCTGTGCTCCCCGCAGCATGCCCCAGTCCCGGGACTCACCGTGTCCTGCACTTCCACAGCAATGCCCCGCTGCCTCATGGCTTGAAGCACCTGGGACTGCAGCCTCTCGGTCCGGTCTCCAGTCCCCACCACAACAATCTCTAGGGAAGAGAGAATGTGGCTAGTCTACAGTTCTGTTGAGATGCTGGGGTGGGGTCGCCTTTTGGGGCCCAGAACACCTCTGTTCTCCCTCCCCTCCCCCAGTACCTATCCGGGGCTCCAGCATCCAGAAGAGGGAAAAGCTCTCTTCGGTGATGTCCTGGTGGGATCCCACCTGTGCAGGGAGGCGGCACATTGAATACGACAAATCCACGCAGCCTCTCCCCACCTTCATCCACTACAGGACATAGAGGAAAGCCAACTTTACAGGGACACAAGCAGGGTGAGGGCCTGTGACTCTGGGCCTCAGTTTCCTCACTGCGGGCCAGGACTCACGTTCCATTGCACCACCGAGTGCGGGAGCAGAGCGCAGGGCCCGAGCACGCGGTTTCCGTTTATCATGAAGCCGCGGCTGTTGTAGCTGTCGATGTACATGGCCTGAGCGGCCTCGCGTTGTAGCAGAGAGATGTGAGTCCGCTGATACAGCTCGTCATCCGCCGGCGAGAGTCGATGCCCGCGCCGCGGGGCCCTGCGGAAGAAAAGGGTCAGGGGAGTGGGGCCGGGCTGCGCCGCCCGAGAGGCCGGAAGGTGCGGGGCTGGCGGTCGCCGGCCCTACGGGAGGGATGGTCGAGGGCGCGGGGTGCAGGCTCACCAGGGAAGCTCAACGGGCGGAGAGCGCAACGAAGGTCGCGCTCGATACAAGCTACGCAGCGCGAGAGCGGTGGCCATGGCTGAGCGACGCGCGGCGAAGTCGTCACCGGCGCCGTTAGTCACCAGGTTGGCGGGGCCCTGCGGAGCCTGACCCAGCGAGGCTGCAGCGCCCCCTGCGTCCTGGAGGGCACCGCACAGCTCGGCCGGCCCAGCAGGCGAGTGTCATCTGTCCGAGGAGGCCGAGTTCCCCGATCTCCGGCGCAGCTCCAGTGTCAGCACCTGCCGCCCTCCCCGTCCCGGGCCCTTGCCCACCGTCCCAGGGGAGTGGAACACCTGGTAGCGTGTCCGCCCTCAGGGCGTTGCCTGGGTCGCAGCCGCGGCCTGGCCCCCGGGCTCTCAGCTATTAAGACGCGCTCCCGGGGCCGGGCGGTCGCCCACCTAGTCCTGTCCCGAACACCTGGCCAGGCGGTCGGTGCCAGACTTCTAGCCCCTAATCCCAGCCTTTGGGGCTTCGGGCACCGTGGGCGGGTCAGTCGACTCAAGTTTCTCCGGCTCAGCGCCGAAGCACGCCCCGCCCTAACCGCCACCCGCGCGACCGTTGGCCTCTCCACCGCCCCCGGAGAGGGGCGTGGCCGAGCGTGGATTGGCTTCTCGGGTGTTCCAGGGGGCGTGGCCAGATGGTTTCTCCTTAAAATGGCTCCAAGTCTGCAGGCAGCCAGAGCAAGCGGAAGGGCAAGCTGTGGTAGTGTTGGGCTGACCGTTCGGCTGGGCCAGACCAGGCCGAACAGGACCAGACTTGAAGTAGAAGCGCGTGGAGCATCACCTTGTCCTCGTTCACTCTGCTCGCGTCCTGGGAGTCCCCGGTCCCCCGTCTTGATCCAAGTCAAGGGCCTACTGGCGCGAGAGTCGCTGGCGCCCGCGCGGGGTTTGGGCATCTCGGCACGCCGGCTCTGTCGTGGCCTCAGGGGAACATTGTCGCGTTCGCTACCCGCGGGGCCGAGCGAGCGGGAAGCTCGGCACAGTCGGGGCCTGGTGGTGGGTCCCCTGGGGCCGGTCGCAATGGGTTTCCGGGGGTCCCGCTGCTGCTCTGTGGACCCCTTCGTCTCCTGGTGCTCTGGGCGCTGGCAGCGTCACCGGACAAAGGCCACGAGCGCGGGGGTGTCCCCGAGGCGGACGCGCGAGTTTACTTCCTCTCCGGCCCCACGGGCGCGCTTCCCTCCTGGCGGATTCCGAAGCCCGCCCCACCACCGTCACCGCACCAGTGGCCCAGGCAGGCTTCGTGGGACCAACAGGGCTAATCCTGCCCCGCGGATCTAATCCGGATCGGGACCCGGTCCCAGGGGAGGCCCCCACCTCCCCTTCTATTGTTCTGGGGCCCAGGTGAGCGTCTTGTTCCCTCTAGACTCGGTTTCACAGCCTACTCCCGGGTCTTCCTCCTGGGAGTGGGGATGGGCGGGTTCTGATGTGGCCCCAGGGCGAGTGACCTGGGGGCAGGAGCTCCCCCGCCCCCCCGCCAACGGCTGGACAGCGGGCAACGGAATCCCAAAAGCAGCTGTTGTCTCCAGAGCATTCCAGCTGCGCTTGGATTTCGTCCCCTGCTCTCCTGCCTGAGCAGCGCCCTGGCCCAGATGGGGTGCCCCTGACCCCCAGACATAATTTACTGAGCCGCTTGGGTCTCAGTTCCTCTCAGGTGCGCCCTCAGGCTGGAGGTGATGGGTGTAGAGGTGGGAGAGCCGAGGCTGGTGGCTATCTCTGGAACCCTGGGGAGCACTGGCGAGGGAGGGTGGACCCAGGACCTCCGGGTAGGAATGCAATGGTAGTGAGTCCCCGAGGGCTGCCTCAGCCCGCATTTCGCTAAAGATAGCCCTCTACTTCCTGGGGAAAAACCACCCCAACCGTCTTCGTGCATGAGAGTATCTAAAGTCCTCAGTTTGGCTGAGGGTTCCCAACCCTGCCAAGCAGTTGTCTCCAGGTAATGCACCTTCAGAATGGAAAGCGCTTTGGAATGACACGATCACTCCCGTTGAGTGGGCCCCCGAGAAGCCATCGGGAATGTCGTGTCCGCCCAGTGCTCTTTCGGCGCCTCCCAGCAGGGCCTCAGCCCTGGCCCAGAAAAGGGCCTTGCCAAGCTTTTCCTGCCCCTGGGTTTCCCTGCTCTCCGGATTTCCCAACACACTACTGAGTTAGCTTCTCTATTAAAAGGAATGGGGGTGGGGTGGGGGGGGGGTGAGTATGTTACAGTGAAATGAAAACATTTGGGAATCTTTGTGGGAGAAAAAAAAAGCTTTCCTATTGGTAGAGGAGTAAGATATTCCAACTGAGGCCTATTTTTCTACTTCTTATGGTCGCATTATTTGGTTGGCCTGTAAATGGCTGTTGCCTAAAACAGGAAGCGTAAGGATCCTTGTTAAAGCACACCAGGTTAAAGGAGTCACATTAAAAGCTGGTCATTCTGGGCCAGGCTCAGGGGCTCACGCCTGTAATCCCAGCACTTTGGGAGGCCGAGGCAGGCGGATCACCTGAGGTCGGGAGTTCGAGGCTTGACAAACTTGGAGAAACCGTGTCTCTATTAAAAGTATTAAAAATACAAAAGTAGCCGGCCATGGTGGCGCATGCCTGTAATCCCAGCTACTTGGGAGACTGAGGCAGGAGAATCACTTGAACCCGGGAGGGGGAGGTTGCGGTGAGCCAAGATCGCACCACTGCACTCCAGCCTGGGCAACATGAGCGAAACTCCGTCTCAAAAAAAATAAGCTGGTCATTCTGGAAGGCATCATGATGGTTGTAATTTCTCAGGTATCAAGAGAAGAAAACTGGCAATTGTATCAAGAGTGCGCATTTATTGGGCATAAAGACGACCTGGGCTGGGCGCAGTGGCTGACTCCTGTAATCCCAGCACTTTCGGAGGCCAAGGCGGGCAGATCACGAGGTCAGAAGTTCAAGACCAGTCGGGCCAACATGGCGGAACACGTCTCTACTAAAAATATAAAAATTAGCCGGGGTGGTGGCGGGCGCCTGTAATCCCAGCTACTCGGGAGCCTGAGGCTGGAGAATCGCTTAAACCCGGGAGGCGGAGTCTGCAGTGAACCGAGATCGTGCCACTGCACTCCAGCCTGGAAGATAAGGGCAAGCCTCCGTCTCAAACAAAAGAAAAACACTCATATCTCAAACGAGAAAATGCTTGCAAATAACCTGAAACCGCGGAACACTATTCTTTTTAAAACGATGTTTTAAGTAGGTCGTGAAAGTGGCCTTAATGTTATACTGCCTTATTCCAGTGACAAGTATTCATCATGTGTAAAATGGGAGAAATGAAATGTTATTAACACAAAGATGTGAGACATCGATGAGAAGAGACGGTACCCTGTCTGATCCCCCACCGGGTCGCGAGGATCCTTTTCCTGGTTGAGACCTGGCCACAGGGAAAGAACCCTAGGCCCGGGAAGGACTCCCGAGATTTCAGATCCAGGGCCCGGCTGTGCAAGTGGACAGCGCGGAAGGGGCGCTGGGGGTGGTAGGTCGAAAGTAGCCGACACGGCTCCTGCTGGCGGAATCTGTCCTCTTACGCGGACCGCCGCCGCATACCCGCCCCAGCCAGTCGATCCTTTCCGGAAGTTCACCTCCCTAAATTCTTTTTCCGGTTCCGCTTACTCCTTCCGGTCACCATGGCGACCAGGCGCCTTGGGGTTGGGGAGACGCTGGGGGCCCTCAACGCGGCCCTGGGGCCTGGCAGTCCGATATGGATCAAGGAGACGCGCACCCGCCACCTGCGTTCCCGAGACTTTCTGGCACCGCACCGCGCGCTGCAGGCGCGCTTCGATGACGGCCAGGTGGGCGTGAGCCGGGCGAAGCCGTGCGGCTGGGAGCTGGGTCCCGTGCCGTGGCGCGCTCACACGCCCATTCTCCCGCAGGTACCCGAGCATTTGCTCCATGCCCTCGCCTGCCTGCAGGGTCCCGGTGTGGCCCCGGTGCTGCGCTGCGCGCCGACTCCCGCGGGTCTGTCTCTCCAACTGCAGCGGCCCGCGGTCTTCGAGCGCGTCCTCAGCGCCGTGGCCGCCTATGCCACGCCCGCCTTGCCTGCCTTGCCGGGCCAGCGCGTCTTACTACACTGCCCAGCCCTGCGCAGCTCCCCTTGCGCACTCCGCTTGAGCCAGCTGCGTACGGTGCTCGTGGCTGATCACCTGGCGCGAGCTCTGCGCGCTCACGGGTGAGCGGGGCCTCAGGGCCGGAATGGAGAAGGTGGGACTACCGGGGACCTAGAGAGCGAGCGGCGTCGCCCTTGGGGACAGCGGCTGGAGGTGGGAAGTCTTGGCGAGCTGGACCAGCTGCTCAGGCTGAGGCGACCGCCCTCCCTTCCCAGGGTGTGCGTGCGCCTAGTGCCAGCTGTGCAGGATCCGCACATGCTGACCTTCCTGCAGCAACTGCGGGTGGACTGGCCCGCTGCCTCGGAGAGAGCTTCCTCCCACACCCTGAGGAGCCACGCCCTTAAAGAAGTTACCTCTGCTCATGACGGGAGGACACTGTCCCCTGGCATCCTAGGCAGACTGTGTCTGAAGGAGCTGGTGGAAGAACAGGGCCGCACAGCTGGCTATGACTCCAACCTGGACAACTGTCTGGGTAGGACCTGTAGCCTAGCAAGGCCAGAAAAGGCAGGAGCGGGTGGGAGTGGGGACATCTCCGCTTCTTGCCAGCCTCAGCACCTGTCTTTTCTCTTTGCAGTGACTGAGGATCTCCTGTCTGTGCTAGCTGAGCTGCAGGAGGCTCTATGGCATTGGCCAGAGGACAGCCACCCAGGCCTGGTTAGTGACTCTCAGCCCTGTAGGTTCTCCCAAACCAAGTATACTGTACTTCCACAGTTATGACTGTCCTCCCTTAGGCTGGGTCCCCAGATACTGGTACAGACAGCTGCCTGGTTGTACATGTTGTTAGCTGTGAGGAGGAGTTCCAGCAACAGAAGTTGGACCTGCTTTGGCGGAAGTTGGTTGACAAGGCTCCACTCAGACAGGTGGGTTAATGATGGAGCTCCCCACCACCTAACCCCTAACCTCAGGGGGCCCTTGAAAACCCACCGAGGGGCTTGTTAGCTGACAGGTCCAGAAACCGACACTTGATCTTGGGGGAGTTGCTGGACTTGAGAGGGCATGTGCAGCAGGTGCGGAAGCTCTGGGGAAGGGGGGCTCTGTAGACACATCCCAAGAACACCAAAGACCAGGTTGAGAAGGCTGAACCGTGCGTAGCCTGAGGAGCTGGGTAGAAGGAGCCACTCAACCTGGCAGTTCCAATTTGAGAGAATATGGGCTGAGTAGAGGCACCAGATTTGGGCTCCTCAAGGGACTTCCTGGAGAGTAGTGCCAACTAGGCTGAGCCCCTGCCATCTTCCTGACAGAAGCACCTGATCTGTGGCCCTGTGAAAGTAGCTGGTGCACCTGGCCCTCTGATGACTGCCCCTGAGTACTACAAGTGAGTGAGGCTGGGAGGAACACCAACCTTAGCCAGGGTAGTGTGGGGGGACTCTTCACCCACGACCCTGCCCACTGGCCTCTCTTCCACAGGTTCCGGCATGCCCAGGTGTGCAAGGCCTCAGCACTGAAGCATGGTGGGGATCTGGCCCACGGTATGCCTGGGAAACCCTGGCTATGTTCTGGGTTAGGGGCAGGTCTTTTGCATCCCTGCCTTTGCCTGCAGACTGAATGACCAATCCTATACTCCCTCAGATCCAGCCTGGACAGAGATCTTTGGTGTTCTCTCTGTGGCCACCATCAAGTTTGAGATGCTGAGCACAGCCCCACAGAGTCAGGTGAGCCTGGGAGCCTGACAGGGCCAGTGCTGGGGTACCAGGTGTGGTGGCTGCCTTCTCTCTGCAGCTGTGCTCCTATTCCCTAGCTCTTCCTGGCTCTGGCTGACAAGAACATCTCCACAAAGGGCACAAAGAGTGGCACCTTTGTCATGTATAATTGTGCTCGTCTTGCCACACTCTTTGAGAGTTACAAGTGTAGTATGGAACAAGGTCTGTACCCCACTTTTCCTCCTGTGAGCAGTCTGGACTTCTCACTACTACATGATGAGGTGAGTGTCCCTCCCGGTAGCTGGCACAAAGGAAGCCTGGACTTCCCCTCCCAGCACCTTTCTCCCCTACAGGGTGAGTGGTTGTTGCTCTTCAACAATATCCTCCCCTTTCCGGATCTGCTGAGCCAGACAGCAATGCTGGACTGCACAGCCCCAGGGCTCCACATCACTGCACGCACAGAGATGGTGAGGCACAACCAGGACACTCTACACTCTATTCTTTATTCTGGCCTGGGGCACAAGAGCAAAGAGATGGGCCAGTGACTCAGTCTCTGTCTCTAGATGTGCAAGTTCCTGGTACAGCTCAGCATGGATTTCAGCTCCTACTACAACCGAGTACACATCCTAGGGGTGAGCGCACAGCAAAACGGGTTTGGGACATGCAGAGAGGTACAGGGTAAAGACAAAGGAAGCAGAGGATGAGACCAGTAGGCCCCTTCTCTTTCAGGAGCCTCGACCACACCGCTTTGGTCAGATGTTCGTCCGCCTGCAGCTTCTGAGGGCTGTGCGTGAGGTGCTCCATACTGGCCTGGCTATGCTGGGTCTCCCTCCACTGAGCCACATCTGAGGCCACAGAGGCTCCAATATTTGGGAACGTTCACAAAGTCATCAACTGGAAAAAAAGCAAAAACCCACGGCCAAAATAAATTGGTACTGTTACAAAGTTCTGTCTTGTCATGGGGAGTGGGGCATATTCTTGGCAGCACTCCACTCACCTTCAGTTCCTGGACCGATGTCAGGAACCCGCGGCCGCCACCTCCTCCCCTCAAGGCATGCTGAGCATGGGCACAGACAGCCCATCCCTGCTCCATGCTGTCTGCGAGCAGGCCCCATGCCCAGCACACCGGCCACCGTGGGATACCTCAGTCATACCAGTTGTAAACCTCAAGCCCCTGACCCCCAAGGGCACAGCGGTGGCCAAACTCAGGGCTCACAGGCCAGCAGTCCATGTCAGCCACATCTGGCACATGGTACACAGTGCTATTCATGAAGGTGGGTTCACCATGCCCCAGACGCCAGAAGGTCAGCCGTTGATCAATGGAGGCTGAGACCATGATACTTGGGCTTAGGATCTTGAGGCCTGTCACATGGGCAGCATGTGCACAGGGGACACAGTATTCCTCTAGCACACGCAGCTGGGGTACCAGCCCACCCTCTCCCACAGCCTCTTCTAGCTCTAGCATCTCCACAGCAAGCACGAAGACATGGAGGGATCCATCTTCACTGCCACTGGCCACGAGATGGTGGCCCTCACGGGTGGGCAACGTGTGCAGGCTGTTGATACCACAGCTGTGGGCCTGCAGAGTCAGAGAGGGGGTGCCAAGCCCTGAAGGAAGAGGGTAGTTGTCAGGGCCCCGCCTGTCACATGTGTGAAGGCTATGTGACAGGTGAGGAGGGGTAGCCATGGTTGCACATTAGCTACTCACGGTAGGGAAGCCCAGGATCCACTGGAGGCTCCAGGACAGTGGAGCCATGGTCTAGCACAGTGGTGAGATCCCAGAAAGCCAGGTTGCCATCAGTAGCTGCGCTGCACAGGAGGAGCCTCCTGGAAGCCAGGAAAAGACAGCCTGGTCAATGACAGAGATGAAGCTCAACAGGAACCCCCCCACCCAGCCCATGCAGGACCATCATCCAGCCCCTCTCACCGTCTCTGGTTGGGTGCCTCATGTGTAAAGGAGTGGACCTTGAGGACACATCGCTTATGGTGGAAGGTTTCAGCAAGGAGCTGCAGAATCCGCCCGGAATCCTGCAAGAGAAAGAGCCTGGGGGGCGGGGGGTGGCCTAGCTCAGAATGCATCCTAAACAACCTTACTTCCTTTGTCTCCCGCCCCACTGGGCCCTGTGCTCTCACCTTACAGCCCCATCACTACAGGCTGCAGCCACAAGGGGGCCAAGGCTGGGCTGGTCAAGTTCACACACAGCAAGGGACATGTACCTGCAGGGACAACACGCAGCTGTCAGGTGGAGCCTGCAAGTCTGGGAGCATCTGCATGACCCATACCACACCCTGCCCAGGAGTATATATTACCTGGTCTCTGGGTCTGCCTTGACCATTCGATGCCGATTGCGTTGCCGGTCCCAATAGTCATCTAGCCGGTGGGACGAAAGGTGCATGACATGGCAGGCGAGGCGGCTTGGGGTGCTGGGTTCCGGAGTAACCATGATGCTGAAGCAGTGCATCTCAGCCCGTCCCCCCGCAGACACCACATAGGCAGTCAGGCCTGGCTGAGGATCCTGAGGGCCACCTGGGGTGCCAATGCCCCATACAGCCACAGCACGTACAGAGGAGATGTGGTTACAAACAGCTGTGAGTGCATGGGCTGAGCCTGTTGTTGTAGGGAGTGCTAGGACACAGACAGTAGTGTCCTCACTACAGGTGATCACAATGTCAGTCAAGTCAGGTCCCTCACTGCCAGGCTCCAGGTCGTCAGGCTGCATGAAGCTGGGCACTCCATATTCAGGCCCCAGGGTAATGGTGCCCACACGCTTTACACAAGTGATCTCACGGCCATGCAGACCCTCCCGGAGAATCACATGTGGCCGAGTGCAGCCACCCAGAGCCCTGTACAGCATGACATCCCCATCCTTGAGGTAAGCAAAGGCCATGGCCGCCTCAGTATCAGAGAATGCCCACGAACGGTGCCCTCCACCACAGTTGACAATGTGCAGCTTCTCGTGTGACCGGGGGCTCCACACTACAAACTCATTGGCATGGAAACCCAGGATAACCATGCTCCCATCGGGCACTATACGGAGCCCAGCTAGCCAGTTCATGCCTCGACAGGACTTCTGCCTTAGGACTGGCTGGAGCTGGCCGTCTCGTACAAATAGCTGGTAGTAGGCGCCATCGCGCCCTGTGGTATACACATAGCCACCATGGCATGTGACTGAGGTCACACCCTGCTTCCCATGCAGAGAGGGCAGGGTAGACACTGGGCCCAACCCAGTGAAAGCATTCCCACCCCCACTACTACCACTACCCACTCCAGGTGCCCCAGCACCAGCCCCAGTCTTGCCTCCCACCCCAGGGTCCTTGAGCAGACCTGGTCTGGAGGGGAACAGTAGCACAGAGCCCCGGCGGTCACCACACACCAGGAAGTCACCTGGGGGTAGGAAGGCACTGCATGTGTGCCATCTCTGCTTGCTTGGGGGCAGCAGGTACCGACAACGTTCCTTGACAAAGATGGCCTTGCCAGAGGGTGCGGCTGAGATCTCTAGGCAAGCTACTACCCCACCAGGGCCCGATGCCAGCAACAGGAGCTCCTCATAACCACGCAGGGCCCAGCTCAAGCTGTGCACCTTCCCAGGAAACAGGGTCTGGTCCACAGCAGCAGTTGGAGTGTTGATGGGGACAATCTTGACACAACCTTCCCCATTGGCCATAGCACACAATCCAAAGCCCTCAGGACCAGGAGCTGCCTCCAGCAGGCAGTAGGACTGGAAATGTTTATCCTCTAGCAGTTGCTCCCAGCACTTGACCTCGACGTCATAGAGATACAGGGCCCCTGTATCAGTCACTGCCAGCAGTCGCCAAGAGCCAGCCAGCGTCACAGCCTTGAGGGTACCTGGCCTACTACGGGACTTGAAGCAGAGAGCCGAGACCCCCAATCCCCGGTACCCACGCCTTACCAAGTGCCACAGCCGAATGCCTGAGTCATCACCCCCAGTGATCACCCAGGCCTGCCTCTCATGGGCAGCTATGGCCCGGATCCCACGTCCCTGGTGTCCCCGAAAGGCCTGGAGGATCTCACCTTCATGGCTCCACACCAAGCAGACACAGTCCTCTCCTGCACTGATAAGGTAATTCTCTAGGAGCTTGACCTGCCATACACGGGCGCTGTGCCCAAAGCAGTGCCCAATATTCTGCACCCGACCCCCAGGCACTCGCAGGTCGCCCACCTTCCAGATACGAACGCTTCGGTCTTCTGAAGCTGTAGCCAGCAAACCCTTGCTTTCCAGGTATGACATGCTGAAGATGATGCCCACGTGCCCACTGATTCGTCGGTCAGGTGCTACAGGTTTGTTGTCTGCTAAGGCAGTTGCTGGGTACCAGACCAAGAGCTGGTTTGAAACAGCACCTGCCACTATGGTCAGCTCCTTCCAGGCGTCTCCAATCAGGCAGGCTGAAGAGAGGGTGCACCTGTCTGTGCAGGGCACCTCTTGCAGGATGCACCCTACTATAGGATCATATAGGACCACTGAGTTGTGGCCCAGGGCCAAGGCTATATTTCCCTCAAGCCAGCGTGCATCCCAAATCCAGTCAGACATGTTCCACAGGCCAGAGCGCCAAAGCTCCCGGAAGTGGCCCTGTCCCCAGCTAATTTTCACAACTCGGAGTCCCTTGCTTCCAAACACAGCCACCATGGCCTCCAAGTCAAAGTCTCCATTAGGCTCTGGCCGCACCCGGAAGCCATGGATAAGATAGTGGCCAAGCAGGTTCTGTACTCGCTTTATCATCCGCAGATGCCCACCAAAGTCCAAGCTGTACACCAGGACATCGGGACCCTCACCTAGACAGAGGCAAAGAACCATGTCAGAGCTATGTACCTAACTCTGATGACCCACAGGGAAGAGATGGGGATCAGGGAAACTTCTCGGCATGTAGCCTATGAACGCATCAGGACACACAATCCTGCAGCTTGAATCTTAGAAAATCCTTGGTTGAGAAAATCCTCGGCCGGGTGCGGTGGCTCACGCCTGTAATCCCAGCACTTTGGGAGGCCAAAGAGAGACTCCGTCTCAAAAGAAAAAAAAAGAAAATACTTGATCTCGGCCAGGCGCGGTGGTTCACACCTGTAATCCTAGTACTTTGGGAGGCCAAGGTGGATGAATCACCTGAGGTCAGGAGTTCAGGACCAGCCTGGCCAACAAGGTGAAACCCCATTCTATTAAAAATACAAAAACTAGCCGGGCATGGTGGCAGGTGCCTGTAATCCCAGCTACTCGGGAGGCTGAGGCAGAAGAATCGCTTGAACCCAGCAGGTGGAGGTTGCAGTGAGTCGAGATCGTACCACTTCACTCAGCCTGGGTGAAAGAGCGAAACTCCGTCTCAAAAAAAAACAAAAAAAGGAAAAAAGAAAATCCTTGGTCTCAGCTTCAGCTGGACTTTAAGTGCTGACTTTGTGTTTCCCTCATCAGTC